TGGAAGGGCAAACGTCAAGGGCAAATGTTATTTATATGTCATGGAGTTCTTCCGTCCCATACTTTCACTGATGGACGACAACGACAAGAAGGGATTTCTGAACGCTTTCTTAACATCCGCGGTCACCGATTTGAATAGATAGTAGAGAACACATAAAGAATAACTATATCGATGAAAATATTAAATTAATGATAAACAAACTAAAAACTCACAAAATTCTAAATGGCTTTATAAACGCAAAACTCCTTTTTTGTTGTTGCAGTCGTTATTGTAACGTAAGCGATTTGCTTTTATGGAGAAAATTCAAGCTTTCATGATTTTGAGACGTCTAGCGGTTGTATGTAAATCCCAGTCACAACTTTGCAAGTGATCAACAGTCTCTGCCAATGTTAAATTTAATGTATTTAAAATATTTTGTAACTTTAAAATCTTAATGGCCTTATGTACGTCCCAATTGATGAATTCCAGCGAGGCCAAGCAACGTTCCGGTGTAGCCTATGGGGAAGCAAAGAACAACTTAATTGATAAACAAATACTTTTGCAAGATAAACTTACATCTTTTCCTAAAACTTTCACCATAATGCGTACCTCGTCAGAATCAATACCACGTTCACGTCCTTTTGGTTTTTTGTCCGCGAATTCAAGCAAATCTTCACAGCTAACCGAATTGGAGGCACCTAAACGATTAACAGCGGCCGTAAAAAATTCCCCCTCGGTTATATCAGTTTTCAACACTTGCGTAGAATGACGCTGTGCCTCGTTATCCGATGTTTGCACTGCCGAGGCCTTATCGGCCGATTCGCGTACTTTTTGAAATAAAGCATGTCCGGCCAACTCATTTTTAGCAGTTTTAACATAAAACAGTCGTTTCGGATTCGCATTACCAACAGGCGGTGAAATTCGACTCTTAAATTCATCGTCAAGATTTTCCTCAGAATTTTCTGTCACCTTCAATGACGAAGGTGACGGCATTTTAAGAGTGGTGGTTGTTTGAGTCTTAATCTCATCTAATTTCTCGACTATTTGTTCCTCCTGTTTTGGTGGTGTTTTCATTTTCATACCATTTTGAATTCCGATTTTCCTAATATGTTCAGTAGCGTTCACCTTCAATTTTTCCAAATTCCCATCAATATCCAAATTTCTTAATTCATCCTCATTAACATACAAACCGGTAAGTTTTTTCGGATCGTATTCTACTTCTTTGCTTTTATGATAGTGTTCCTTTTGTATAGAGAAATTGTAAAAACCATCTGTAACATCTGGTGTATGCAAGACTTGATCCTTATTAAAGTCCGCTTCCAATATGGATTCAAATTGTAGAGAGGCGCTATCATCCGTAGTCGAATGATCGACATTTTGATAATTTCGTTCATTATTTTTAAAATTCTCATAATCCGCTGCTGCTGCTGCTGCTGCTGCTGGCGCTGACGGTGATGTGGGACTGGCAATTTGCGAAGTTTTTTTTATACAAAGATTGGGCGTCATATTCACCGTTACAGCCATATTACATAGATTTGTATTCTCAGTTCCAATCACTTTATTGAGAGTACGTTGTACACCATTAGCGGGCAGTATTAAGGGATATTTACGTACATGCCTTTTAGGATTTGTTTGTATATGTTTTTTACCCTCCTTCGGCGGTACAGGCAGAGGATTCAAGTCTGCTGGCATTGAATCGGGCAATTTGAAACTGGCAGTATTTGTTACATAGCTGGGACTCTCACAAGGTGAAATATTATCAGATGTTTTCGCAGCCGTAAAACTGTGACTACTGTCGACGCTATCACGTTGCGGACTTGAAGGTAATAAACCTAATTCCACTTTTCGAGCTCGATTAGCCGCTCCCCTTGTTGGCAACGTAGTAGGACGTGGAGCATTTTGTAACGGTGGTATCATCAAATCTCTATCAATATCACCGTTAAATCTAGGCGAAGTCGTGAAATTGTTAACGCCGTGACTTAAACAAAATTCATCGCGTTGCATAGAACGTCTAGGCAAGGTTTTAGTCATATTAAGACGATCGATATGTGGATCTAATTGTCCCAATAAGCAAGCAGCGGTCGTAGCATTTAATAAAGGTTTGCGTTCTATTAAGCTTTTATACGCTTCACGACCTTCTTCACCGATAATTTCCTAAATCAAATAACAAATAAATATAAGAAGAAGAAAACAAAAAACAAAAAAAAAAAACGACAAAGAAACAAAAGTAAAAAAATTGAAATAAAAATAATAAATATATATATATATATTATATATATATATTGGTATACATATAAATTTTCTTATGGTGTTAAGAAAAAAAAAAAAAAGATAAAATTCTGTTAAAATCAAGTGCCTTCATATTACATATACGTAAAGTGTTCATTGAAAAGTGTAGAAATCTGATTTGCATTCAATTTTAAACGAATTTCTCATTATTAGATTAGAATAAAATACAACCGCGTAGATTTTTTTTTTTCTTTTTTTTTTTTTTGCTCTACACTTTCCCGTGAACAACCCTATAGCATTGGAAAATATTACAGTATCTTATACGAGTTCAAGAAAGGAAGAAAAAGAATTAGTTATCTGTAGTTTATAAAAAAATTTTTTTTCTTTTTTTTAATAGTTAATAGTTTTATATTTTTAATTTTTAAATATATATATATTTGATCTTTAATATATATGTGTATGCACGTATTTCAATATAGAAATATTCTATGAAAACATCTTAACATTAAATTTGGAATTTTTTGTTTTAAGTTTTTTTTCTGGAATAAAATGCAAATATTAATTAATTAATTAATTAACACACACACAGACACACACACAACTGTAACATGAGAATTGTAAGTATTTAGTTTATTTAATTATATTATTTTTAAGGAATACTTTAGGAGATGGATACCTTTTTAACGTTTTAGAAATTCGTAGCTTTGCAAATTACCTTTTATTCAGTTTTTCACTTTTAGAATATCGTTTAACATTTAACTCTTTGGTTATTTTATTAATAATTTGATTATTATTTCTTTCTTTTTTTTTTTTTGTTTTTTCCTTTTTAAACCTTTTTAAGAAAATTAACTTTTTTCAATTTTTATTTTTTTTTTTTTATTTTTTTTTTTTGTTTAATTTCTTATTTGTTTTGAGGTATACGTCAAGTCATCGGAAGATTACATTTTGATAAGAGAAAATTAATAGGCTCAAAACACATACAGAATTTCTTATAAGAAAAAATGTTTAATAATTATTATTATTAAGAATTGTTGTATAAAAAATAAGCAGGAACTACTTGAAATATTTGTAGCTGTAATAAGCTTGCGATAAAAATTATAGTGAAACCAAACCTAATCTATTCTACCCTATAGTACTTTCTAGAACAACTTTTCACAATAACATTAGTTTGGGGAAAAAGAAATCCATTATTTTTTCGGTAGATGGCTGCACTGATAGATTTCTCGTAAAGTATCGATCAAACAATTTCCGATACTGTACATTTACATACTGTACATTTCGCAGTAAAAAAAATTCTTTTGCTGTTTTTTGTTTGGTGCATTCAGTTGTGAGTTACAGCGTGTTATACAGCGTGCTGTATACCGTATCCAGCAGAGATTTCTCATTTGAAGAACTCACTTGATTTGGCGTCATTTTTATCGTTCTATGAAACGTGTTATTGTATTTATAGATAAGGTCCTTATATAATAGTAATATATCATATGAGAAATGGTCGAAAAAGTAATCCCGTCCGAACCATTTTTAATATCATTTGCCATTAGGGCAAAACACGTCAGTGTATTAAATCTCATCAAAATACCTCGAAAGAGCTGTAGGTTAAACACAAAAAACAAGATGGCCAGTCAGATAGACAGACAAGCTTACAAGAAAAGACGGGTCTATCTCAAATTCTTCTGGGTGTTGCATACATTCGCGCAAAATACCTTTGTATCGCAAACGGTAAGGCATAAAAACTTTTATATGCAAAAAGTATCCAAGTATGGAATAAGTAAATGCCATCAAATGGTTCAGCAAAAGATTAAGCAAAGTCTACATTTTTCCTTTCCACCATCGCAAGGAATTATTGCAAACCACAGCGGATTGTGACCGGAGTTTTTTGATTAACCAAAAAAAAAAAAAATAAAAAAAAATTAAAAAAATTGTGCTCCGTTGTAAGCGAATCTTTTATATCCGTCAGCATTACCCTAAAAAAAAAAACAAAGAAAAAAAGCCATAATATTGAATAGGCCTGATCACTTATTTCCATTTTCGTATTTTGCATCCCCTGTAGATTATCAGATCAAACTTTTATAGATTTATCTGCCGCAGGTTGTGACCAATGAGCAAAAAATCAATTTTTTATTCCCCTTTGGAAAACAGAGTTTTTCTCAGTTTACGTGTATCCTTTGACAGATTTGGCGAGTCTCCCATACAAAATTGCGTGTAGGAAGTTTGAACGTTGCAGGAAGTTTGAATTGCAAGCCGGTAGTTTTGTTTTTTTGTCAACAGGAGAACGACAGACAGACAGACGGACAGAGGGACATGTTTAAATCGATTTAGAATTTCATGCTGATCAAGATTATATATATTGAATGGGAAGTTTCCTTCTGTATATTGCAAACGTTTGGACAAAATGAATATATTCCCCATCCTTTGACGGGCGTGAAAAGAGACGTCTTTATAGAGGAAGGAGAAGATTTTAAAAGATCAAATCAATATCTCCAATATGTTTCGACCTTATTATTTTTCTCTCCGCTTGAGTAAAAAAAAAAAAAAAAAAAAAAAAAAAAAAAAAAAAAAAACAAGTCCATTTCTCGTACATTCGCCGTCAGCTAGGTTAGCAAGTCTCAAATTCCATTTGCATTATTCTAAATACAATCAATCAATTGTCTGTATATTCCTTTCACTTTTACGATAAACGTGTGCTGTTGTTACTTTTAAGTGAGTGCGCTTTTATGTGCAAAAATGCAAGTATGAGGGCGGGATGTGCATATGATCGGGGGGAAACTTTTTTTTTTTGTTTTTTTTTTTTTGTTTTCAGTAAATGATTGGGAGAATATTGTAAGGCACTCCTTGTTTGGTTAGGACATTATTCCACGAGTGAAAGAGCACAACTATTGTCAATTTAACGTATTTTTCAATATCATCATCAACCTTGCTATCGTCAAATATTGCTTTTAAGTAATAATTAGTCAGCCTCACTAATACGGAAACCCTGTGTTTTGTAATTCGATTGATTATTTATTTAATGCCTCAATTTATGGAGCCGGACTGGGTGGTATACGTGGCGGCATATATTCAGAACGATATTCGAATTGTTCACTATCCGAAGTTGAAGAGCTAAGCGTAGATGATGGATGTGAACGATAATCGTTATAAGCATTATAATCTAATTGTTGCTGTTGACGCCACAGTAAATCGTTTTGTTTCACTGTCGATGCATGAATTTTCTCGGGCCATTGAAATTCGGTATTGCACCCGGCCATAGTGCTGTTAATTTGCGTTAGAGATAGTGATGAAGGTGGTGTGCGATTTGTTTCGGGCAGAGCATTCGCTAAATTTGAAGTAGGACTGAGACCAGTTAAGCGGCTAACATCAAATTCGGGAAATGCTGAATTATTCAGACCACTATAGGTTGCGACAGCCGAAGAAGTGGCCGAAGAAGATCCAGAACCAGATCCCGAATTTCCGCTTGATCGTAAGACTTTAGAAGTTGTGAATAAAGCGGTAGCGTTACTTTTAGAATTGTTGATATTTTGATTTGGTCCCTTAGCCACCGCCACTGCCCCACTGCCCCCGAAATCATAGATACGTTCATCATAGGGCAGACTTTCATCATAAGTTTGCTGTTTATACATAAAACGCGAAGTCGCAGAATTAAAACCACTACGCGTGTTAGCCAAGCCATAGTTATAATGAGGAGCTGATTTAATACTAACATTAGACCCGTACAATTTATTTGGTGCTCCAATAATCTGTTCATGATCATCATGATGGGGCCCATCAAATAATTTACGTGTCATACCTTGACGTCGCCGTTTACTTAGGGAAATCAAAGCACGTGAACGTATATCGCATTCGGAACGAGCTATACTGCAGTCAATGCTGTGAACACTTTCCTCCTCACTGCTCGATGAGGAACTAGTAGCGGCAGCCGTTATAGGATTATAACTTAAACGCCTTAATGTACGAGCTTTAATTGATCGCGGTTTATATATTTGACGACGTCGATGGCTGGTGGCGTCGTCGGAACTCTGAGAATGTTTGGTACATTGATCACGTCTCTTATCATATTTATAAGATTCCGAGACGGGATTAAGATTATCAGTAAAGGACATGGAACGCAAACGTAACTTACTATGCCCACGATTGCACGAATCGTCCTCCTCAAGCGTGAGTTGTTTAGGTGAATAAACAGAAATTGTGCTGCTTTCATGAGGAGTAATTTGCGAGCCACGAAAAGGGGAAGTCACATTTTCATTATTATATCTTTGCGCACCATTCTTATAAGGCAAAGGGAAACCGGCAATTCCATTGCATGCCGAAGGACTGAAGTAGCTATCCTGTGGACTGTAGCTCGATTTTTGACTACTACGGCGTGATAGAGAAATTGTATCGCGCGAAGCGAAACCTGTATCCGGTGTACTACAACATTTGTCAGTGACAGTACCAGTACCAGTAGTAGTTTGATTATTAGCCTGAGCATTTTTCATATATTGCAAATGTTTGTCCAAATGTGTAGTGGCTGCATTAAAATCAAAAGTGGTCGTCGTAGTATTTTTCCCATTATTATAATTGAATACTCCTGTAGATTTCAGACTACCTGCGGCACTGCTAATCTCATCGTCTATAGAAGAAACTATGCTTGAAAATTGATCGTTCAATATTGTTTCGTCAGAATCAGTTTTATCCAGATCCGTGTACGTATGCATAAAATCCAAATTCAAGGCTTTTAATGTATTCTCAATGTCAAATAGATTTTCATTTAAGGTTTTTTTGCGAGAATCCTCCCCACGATCAACTGAGGCAAAAGAATCTTTATACTCCTCCAATGATGGAGGTATACTGTTAGTATTATCGGAAGCCAAAATTTGACTGCCAAACGTTAAAGGGCGACTTAATATTTCTCGAGATTTTTCAAAACAAAAATCTGAACTCTTCTTATCAAACAATGGTATACGAATATCTACAGTAGAGGTGGATGTGGTTAAATTATTCAAATCACTTGACATAGATCGAAAGCACTTAAATTAACAAAAGATTCATCAAAGTATATATATATAAAGAAAAATTATATAAAAATCATCAAAACCACAAGTAGAGAAAAAGAGAGAAATTCAAGAAAAGAAAAAATTTTAATTACTCTTAATAAAGTCAATGGAAAAATCGAATGCATGTGTTAGTGAACTTACTTGCAAATCCGGTATACTTTTCAATTCCTCAGTGAAGTTCTTCTTTTTGGAATTTGGTGATAAAGTATGCAAGTGACTGGTGCTACTTGCTGTGCCCACGCCAGCCGTGTTTAAACCAATATTTGTTTGAGTTTTTTCAACACTAGATGGATGATTGCTGAGATGAGGAAAACGAAAACTAAATTTACGCTTAGGACTTTGAGTAGATGGTGGCGGTTGATCGGAAACCAAGCTACACATAGATCTGTAAATTAGTGTAACATTAAATATAAAGGCACATTTAATATATATTGAAACAAATCGCCAACCTGGCACTAATTTCATTGGCAATCTCAATAGCTTGATTCAAAATTCTTTCATCTTTTACCGAAATCGGTTTTACAACGCCACAAGAATTCTTAGACTTCTTCGTTGCACCAGCACTATTTTTTCGTATAAGTTTTGAGGTTAGATCCGAAAAATCACCACGTTTATTATGAGTATTTGTATTAGTATTCGAATTATCAATTTCAGCATTTTTATTGTGCGTAATTGTTGTTGTTAATGTTGTGCTGGTCGTTGCTGTCATAGAACCAAACATAGAATTGATCTCATCTAATAACGATGGTCCGAAATCTAATTTATCGGGAGTCATTTCATCATCATCTGATATCTCGTGATACTGATGAGGCTCGTCGAAACTTTCACTTTGCCTGTTAGCGGCGGTTAGCGTTTGGCGCCAAGATAATTGTTCTTTATTTTCTACGCCATAATTGTTATTTTGTAAAGCCATTGTCATATTTGCATTATCTTCGCCTGCTTTATGCATAGAAAATGGATTCGTGTTTGTATTCGTGTGATCAGTAGGAAATTCGAAGGTATTTGATTGTCTATTAGTGTTATTAAAATTCTTTGGAGTATTTTCAGTTGATGGAATAAATGAAGGATTCATAGTCGATGTACTGTGTTGGCTATCATCAGCAAAATAGCCAGACGCAGTCTGTAAAGAATCTGGACTAGTGGGCGTTGGTGGCAGTAAAAGCGGTGTTTGCTCAATATCCTCGGATGGTTTGTACGGCGTAACAATTTGACGGGGCACGTGATTATACTATAAAATAAATAAAAAGAAGAAGCAGAAATTAATGGACGGTTTAAGAAACTTAGTTAGAAACAATAATATCTAATAGATGTAAAAGTCCCAACTTGATGCGATATTCAAGTAGATGAGTCATTATATAGCAGCCAAAATCGCATACGGATCTTAAGAGAACAACGACAACTTAGGGCAATTTATAACCAATCGGAAATTTTTCTGTTTTAAAAAATTGACGGTAATGGCACGTCCTCTCCAGAATATGCAACTTCTTGTAGAAGGCAAGGTAATGTCACCCTTAAGGTAAGCTGTCTGCCACGAGGCAACCGTAAGGACCAATTAGAACTGCGTTTAAAGCCGTTCACGGAATTACTTTCTAGTGAGACTTTTTGCTACGTCCTTTGATGACGCGGGTCAGATATCAAACATATTTTTTTTCCGAAATAGAACAGCTGAGAAGGTCACGATTGTATGCTACATCTCCGACCACACGCCTTTCTACTAATTGGAACATTGTTGGCTAAGATCAAAAACCACAAAGTACCTTCAGTTAGTTCTTAGTGCCGGTTTTGCAATCTGATTAAGTCTCGAATTTGTCATATATGCACTTACGTTTTGAGACGATCCCAGAAATGCAATATCACCAAAGGAAGCTCCGTCAATACCCACGTGGCCGGTATGTTTAAAATCATTTTGTGGTTTCGAAATCATTTCCGTACGCAATTTTCTTTTACTGCTAGCACGATCACTGGTGCTACGACTAAAGGACTCTCTACAAATTTGCAATAAAATCGTAAAAATTGCTTACACAAAAAAATGTTGCGTTCATACCTATTTAGTGTGGGCAAACCCTCCACATAAGCAACTGTATTCGATGGATTAAATAAACCCGTTTTGCCAGAATTTAAGACCCCCTTCCAAAATGGCGTACCCGTGTTACGATCTAATACAGTTATTATATCATTCTGTCTATAAATCAAATGATCTTTAGTTTTCGATTCCAAGCAGTTATCAACGGCCTTTAGCTGTTCCGGTTTCATTTCGGGCAGCATTTCATAGATTTCATTGAATTTTGGACGCTTACTAGGATCATCTTGCCAACATTTCATCATTAAATTGTAATATTCACGGGGACAGCATTCGGGTTGTTCAAGACGCTTTAAATAGAAAAGCAATTAAAAAAACCGCGCTTAACCTTAAAAACATAAAAAAAATTGTTTAATATTATTTACCTGATAGTTTGGTGCATCTATGGCTTCCAAAATTTGCAGTCCCGTTAAAGCCGCCCACGGTTGAAAACCGTAAGAGAACATTTCCCATAAACAAACACCATACGCCCAAACATCTGAGGCATTAGTAAAACGTAAATAATTAATGCATTCGGGAGCACACCAGGCTATCGGAAGCTTAAGATTAACATTAAAATTAGTTTTATAATAATCTTTGCCTACACCCAATGCACGCGACAAACCGAAATCGGAAATTTTCACTTTATTCTTGCTAAATACCAATATATTACGAGCAGCCAAATCCCTACAGAGAGAATAATATTTATATTTAATAATAAATAATTTTTTTTTTTTTTTTGTATTTCATTTTACCTATGTATCAAGCGTTTATTTTCCAAATAGCGCATACCATTGCAGATTTGCAAAGCAAACTCACATAAAGTGGGAACGGTAAGAAAACTGACTCTCAAGCCGGCATCTTTCAAGCACTCGAAGAGCGAACGTAAATGAGCTAACTCTGTGACTAACATTAACGAATCGGTTGCCAGGACAACACCATATAAGCGTACTATGTTTTCATGTTCGATGGAATGCATAATTGCAGCCTCCTTTAAAAATTCCATTGGATTTGATTGCATACGTTCACGGCATAAACACTTAATAGCCACTTGAATCTGACAATGCAAACAGATTTTTGTTAAATTTTTCTCAAATGATGTACATGTGTTCAGAACTTACCCTCTCTGTACCGTTGGTCCAAACACCTTGCTGCACAATCCCAAACTCACCGGTACCCAGCTACAATAAACATAAGAACCCAATCAATTAACAGCAAAATATCATCAAGTACTACATAATATGCTATAGATGGTAAAGGTGTCTAAAAGTTTAACGTGGATTTCTAGCGTGACAGTTTACTCCCGCGATGCCCGACGCCGATGGAGTAAGAAAACGCTTTCCAAGAACCTTTGCACAGGTGGACGGATAGAGTTAATCCGTGATACAAAGCCGTCATTTGGATGCCTATTCAAGTGCGATTGTTCCTGACTCCTGATTATTATAAAAAACAATAACGAAATCTAAGCTTTAAAAGTGTGAAAAATCTGACATTCTAGGCGAAGGCTTAAAATCAAAATTCATCTTCGGATAACTTAATAAAAAGAATAAAGAATATCTCACTCGATTACTCTTTACTCGATCATCGTAAAGTTGTCTTCAGATAACGCAATAAAGAAAACCTCTCTCGATTACCCTTTACTCGTTTACACACATTGACTCGACATATTTATGCGACAAGTGTACAAATAAATTCCTGCTCGTTTTTGATAAAATTCAATTGTACTTAAAATACGCTTGTTAGAAAGCTTAATAATCGAAATGTACCCCCGTCATCACTTGTGGTCTTTTGCTTTTTATCGAATAGCTTATGGATGCGGTCGCGGTAGAAACTTGCCGAAAATAACTATCGATTCATTTTCCCAAATCTAAATATGACTATTTCGACCTGAATCAGTGCTAATCGAAAGTGGTCCGCCCTGGAGAATATAGTGGATGCGTTTAAGCTTCCCAGCCTAGGTTGCAAATTATTTTCTTGGTTATTTTTGCAGGAGACAGACGGACGTATGCAAGTCTTCATCATTTTCTTGACTGCAAATTTTTGCTCAAAATCTCGCAGGCCACTTTCTAACTGTTTCGTAGCTTACTGAATTTTCATTTGAAGCCAATTTAATCATTTCTGTAGAGTCAGCCGCCTTTTTTCGCAGCGTGATTCAGTTAAAAACAAAGAAAACTGCAGGTCTGTAAATTGTCATCCATCTCTTTAGGCTTCGATATAGGCCGGCCGAAACTTCTATCCTTCAACCATCAAGGTCTACGTTATCTTTACTTAAAATTTCGGGGAATTTGAATACGTCAGGTATGTTTTATAAAGCAACTAATTTTTGCGCAAGGAGTTTATTTATATGCGTAATATATGTTTTATGGGTTCTACGATCTGCATTTGAGGAAATGTAGAAATGAAATGAAGGGAACCTTTACCTTCTTATTAACACTAATGGCATCAGCTGGTATTATATGTTTATTGTTGGGCGCCTTACTCGGAGAACTATTGTTTTTATTAATCGCTCCCGAAGAACTATTCAAATTACCAGGCGTTGAAGAGGCATTGCCCAAGGTGCCCGTACTACCACCTGCCCCGCTTCCCGAAGATTCATCACGCTTCACGATAGCTGTGGGAGCTTGTAATAAACGCTTAATTTTGCTAAGATAACCGTGGGGGAAATGTTTTTCATAGAATTTACGCAAACGTCGTATCTCTGGCCGTGACATACTAATGCTTTTAAGGTCCTCATCTGTGGCATATTTAAATTGCGAAGCATTCGTAATTTTAAGTTCATTCCTGTTAACAAAAAAACAAAATAAATAAAAGATACAAAATATGAAATATTTCAGCTGACTAAGCGCAACACACTTACTTGACGGCATTATAGTAATGCTGCAGTTCAGCTTCCGTTAGAAATTCATATAAATCGATTTGGGCACAATCTGTTAGGCGATAAAAAATCCAAAAAAAAAGAGCAAAGAGTAAATTAAAAATAGTTTACGAAAGTTATTCCTTCCCGCCAACTTAATATGTAAAACACATGTATACGTATATAAATATTCTTGGCTGAGGGCTTACGGTATACGAACGCAAAGGCATGTATAAAATTTTTTCAGTTTCCTAGCATGTGGGTTAATTGTGAAATGAGGACAACTTCGAACATAAATACACGTACATATATATATATATATATATATAGCTATCTACAAATAGGCGCATTTGCTTATGTATGGAAAGTAGTTAAATCAAGATCATTGCGTCTGGTATTGCAAGTTGCATGTTGACGGTCAACCCGGGGGGAAGTTATTATTACGGTGCTGCCATCGTCAAACTGGAATTTTTGCTTACATTTAATTTTCATTCATTTTTCTCTTGTTTCTTCGCTCATTCGATATAAAAAGAATAAATTTGATATGAATCACTTCACTCAGACAATTAGTGTTTATAACAAAAACCAAAAAAAAAAAAAAATTCCTGTTGTTTTCGGTTTTGAATGACTTGCAATTGAAAACTTATGCTGCCGCCTTTAAAAGCATTACGCGGGTTCTCTCATAAAATGTATTAAAATAAACTGTAAGAGGACGCTGAAAATTACTTTATAAAAAAAAAGTAAAACTACTTGAAGGAAACTGTCTTCAAATTCAAAGCCAAAGATAGATAGGGACAGAGATCGAGACAGAAGGAAAGATAGAGATATGAATAAAGATGGAAGCAGAGTGGAAGATTGTCAGGAATAAAAATCAATCTAGAGGTAAAGATAGAGATATGAATAAAGATGGGAGCAGAGTGGAAGATAGATA